CTGGCCGAGCCCGATCCAACCCGTGATATACGCGGCTCACGGATCGGGCTAGGTCCAGCTCCAGACCCGGAACTAGAGAAATAGGTCTGGCCCACCTTAACCCGGTCCACCTTAACTCAGCCCACCATTGACCTGACCCGGCCCAGCCCAACCCAACCCCGGATTTGAATTATTAGTTTTTAGTTACCATTTTTTTATTTTTTCCTCTTGTATTTATGTTTGGTGGAAATTTGTGAAATGAAAATGAAAGAACTGTGTTTGATTTTATTCTCTCAATCTCAATTACAATTTGGATTTCCTGATTACAAAATAGAAGAGAATTGATCTGAATTTTTCCCTTTGTTTAAGTCTGGGTTCTTCACGGTGACGATGGAGTGCCTCCCTCGAATGCTCGCATCGAGTTTGTTCTCCGTTGACGATCCGAACGTCTTAATTCATTGGAACGATATTTTCTCCTCACGATTTGACGTTGTGGAGAACTTGCAAAGCAAGTTTTAGAACACTGAACGAGTTGATAACTCTGAACGAGTTTAAAACTCTATGAAAGAATTGATTTAACCGAAATCGGTTTGTAAGCCAAGGATGAAGAAAGTTCCTGTTTCCGATCTCCAAAGCTCCAGCAATTCCCCAAAAGTCAGCCAAAGATCTCTTCTTTTCTTCCAAGTCGAAGGCCAAAAGAAGGATCAATCCGAGAGCCCGAACTCAATTGAGTTTTCCGCTATTTATAAGGGATTAAGGGGTATAACCGCCCCCTTAATTCGCTCCTAAGTGGGGCTGAATGGAGTGTAACCGTCCCCTTAAATAACTCCCCAAATCGTGGGAGAAAACGGTTTTAAAACCGTTCAGTTCGTGCTTTGAACGAATCAAACGCTGAAAAATAACGTTCAGGACCCGAACTCTGCGTTTTAGACTTGAAACGCAAAGTTGGGCCTATTTTGATGGCTGAACGCACAAGCCGCGTTGCGTTGTAAATCTGAAACGCAGAGTTGGGAAACAGAGATGAACTCCGCGTTTTGAGTCCGCGAACTCTGCGTTTTTAACTGGAGCACTGGGGATGAACCCTGCGTTTTGACTCTGAAACGCGGGCATGACCTTTGCTTTTTGATGGTGTAATGCAGGGATGACCTCTGTGTTTTGATGTTGCAACACAGGGATGACATCTGCGTTTTGATGGTGTAACGCAGGGATGACCTCTGCGTTTTGATGTGAAAAGACTATCAATTTATGGTCTCTTTTGCTGGAGCGTTGCAAAGACCGTCATCTTGTAATCTTCATCTTGGCTCCTTGAAAATATGAGTCGTTTGATTGTAACTCCCGATGTTGATTGTGAAGACTGTTGAACTAGAGCATTTATCGGTTATTGTGAAGGTCGTCAGATTGTAACATTCATCGATCTACGTCGTGAAAATCTTTAAATTATAGCCTTCTGGAAGTCGTCAGATTGTAACTTCCATCATCGGTGTTTGATGGGGGATCAGTTATCTGCAGTGATTTTTAGACAACCTACAATTTATAATTTATATTTAAACTAAAGGAAAATTATTAACATTCTGTGGACATAGGTCTTTCTTCGAAGTCCGAACTATGTATATCTTTGTATTTGCGATGTTTTTCTGTGTGATGTTTATCTTTGTACAATGTGTATGTATATATATATATCATTTTAAATAAAGAGTAAAATAGAAAAAATAATTTAAATATAATTTAATAGATACTAATACAAAGTTAATATAGCTTAGAAATTAAAAACAAAAAATTAGAAAGTTTAATCCTAGACATGGGATCAGAGAATTATGTCCGGCCCACTTTGACCCGAGCGGGCCTGGGTCGGACCCGGCCCGGCCTTGAACCCCGCAGGCCGGGTGACGGGCCTGAATCGGCCCGGCCCACGCCCACCCCTAATAAAAACATACGAAAATTACATGCAAAAGCAACTGCATATAATCATATGGAATATCCTTCTATCTAACAAACTAAATAAGCAGAAACATACATAGAAAAATGTCGTGATGCAATGTTAGCCACTGAATACATGTGACAGGAATCATACCCTGCCACCTAAACTAACAGGATGATAGAAGTTACATTCCAAGATAAAGCAAATATCTTATGAGTACAAATTGTAATCCAGATGTGCAAAACCATGACGAACCTATGGAATACAAGAAGGATATATGCCCAAGCCTATCAGCAACTTTTGAAAACTACAGAAATGAGTTCAGCCACTTTTGAAGGTCAAAATATGCATCAAACTATATTTAAAAAATTCTTTTCCTTTATATTTGTACTTTTTCATTTAAGTTTTGTCTGTAATTTTGCAATGGATCTCATAGTCATCATCTAAATAAAAGGTGTAACTACAAAGAAGATAAGGCTGCCAAGCTATCTTCCAGCACCATCACAATGAAGCAGTATTATCATACATGAGGTACCAAACAAGTGAAAGTGAGCACTTCAAATGAGCAAGAAAGCTGAGGTATTACCAAGAAAATTAGATATTACCTAGATCTGAATAATTGGTTTAACTTTTTTTCTTAACCTTCTTAAAGGAAAGATGTCATTGAACTCTCCAACCCAATAATTTACTGCCCTCTTACTAACACCAAATCAAACCTGTGACTTATCATATCTTTTTTATCAGATGTCAAGATACTCTTTATCATATCTTTTTTATCAGATGTCAAGATACTTTTACTGTTTTTGACATGCAAAATTAGACAGTATGATTAAAATGCAAAAAAAACATGCCATTTACACAAGCTTTAAGTTGACCAACCTTCATAGAAATTAATGAGTGCCAAGTGGGTATGAATAATAATCCATAATAATGAGATATGGGTAGAAAGCTTTGGCAGACAGAACATAGACTCACTGCAGCATGATATTCAGACACATTAAGCAAAATATATATATGACGAAGTTAGATGAAATCCACATACAGTGATTTTTGCAGATAGAACTACAGAAAGCAAGTGCAAGGCATCAAACTTGAAGGCATTGTGCAGCTCAGCAAACTGTCTAGAAATAGCAGCTACCTGAAATCACATACAAGCTGTCAGGTAGGGTTTTAGAATGTTAGTTAACACATAAGAGCACATGACTGTGAGAGGAATTAAATCAAGAAATTCAATGAGGGAAAAAATGACAAAATTAGGTCCAAGTATATCCATATTACCATGGATGACAACCCTGTTATGTTTTCAGCATCAATCATATCAATGAGCAGGCCGTTTAGCACCAGTTGCAGAAGTCTCATGGCAAGTTCCAATAATTGAGAATCTTCAATAACATTAAACAAGTTTAAGTAAAACTTGAATTAAGATGAACTTTTGAAGAGAGAAAAGGAAAGATATTGAAACTAGAATCAGCAAAAAAGACAACAAGATAAACTCAGCTTGCAAATTATCAACCAAGAGTACATGATAAAACTCATTAGCAAATAGTTTATATGATTATACACAAGAACTTGATAACAGGGCAGTTACACAGGTAAATCAGAGTTGGGCAAGTCTTTTAAATGATTCATTATGTTGATGCTAGTTCTCACATAAGGTCTCAATTACCATAGTAAAGAGCGTAAGGAGCAAAAGCCTACATATGTAAGTCACTGCAAGGAAAAAATAAATAAATAAAAGGACTTCTTAGACAAATTCAAGATATCTGACCACAGCACAACTGGCCCTGACTTCAATTGACCAAATTATACTACAGGTCTAATTGCAAAAACCACAGTTTAACTCCTTTTATTCTTCAGTTCAGAATAACCGCCATGTATTGGAACATGTCCCCAAATTCCTAAATTCGTGTCACTGGCATATGAATGGTGAGACTGAACTTTTAACTCAAACCACGACACGTCAAGCCCTCAACCCAAAACAATAGTGCCGATCAAATTATTGCAGAAAAGACTCCTGTACGCTATCGATCCCTTGCGGACATCTATGCGGAGACGGAGGTGATCGACCTTCCTGCAGAGGAGTTGTTCCTGATCACTGAAGAACCTACGAACTATCTTGAGGCTGCATCAGATCAAGAATGGAGGACAGCGATGGAGAAGGAAATGGAGGCCATCGAGAAGAACAAGACTTGGAGACTCACGGAGTTACCACGGGGTTCCAAACCCATTGGTCTCAAATGGGTGTACAAGCTGAAGAAGGACAATGAAGGCAACATTCTCAAGCACAAAGCAAGACTTGTAGCAAAAGGGTACGTCCAGCAGCAAGGCGTGGACTTCGATGAGGTGAAATATAGACCTTACACTTTGCTCCAACATGTGGCAGAGGCAATTAAGACCATAAAGCCTGACTGTAGCATGCCCCTTGTGGTCAAGACAAACTTCAAGCTCAAGCAATATGAGAGGACATTTTTTCTTTTAATACATAACTTTGTTTTTGTGATAAATTTCGCATAAAAAGCCAGTACATATAAAGTGAAAGAAATGAACTAGAAAAGAGAAATCATTCTGAATAACCATACTTTTGTTAAAAAGTCAATGTCGTGTGCCTACTGCCTTCATCTCATAGAAAAGAGTGTTTAGTGAGTACCATTTTGTAAACTATAGACATGTGGGGCTAGCATGTCAAACACACCAGGCTGATAGAAACTAGACTTTCCTTTTTCAGAAGCGCCAGCTACTAACAGCAAAAATTCATAGCACTCCTCAGCAACGGATTGATCTGATCTGCATGAATACTGAATTGTAAAAGTGGAAATGGATAAAATAAGCAGCTTGCATATAAAGGTAAAGAGGTCATGCAATATTTATGGAAACAACATAACATGACAGATTCCCAGTAGCAGATTAAAAATCTATTAAATGCCTTTTTGCCTATGGCAAGTTATCCCAGTCAAGCAAATGACGAACAATTAGATATAAAAAATGCACACCGCAGAGATAAGAGTGAAACAAATCAGTCCAAACGCGCTTGTGCACTTAACAACGGTCATTTAGCATCTTGTCGAATACGCAAGTTTGTGAAGCAATAAAGTGAATACTTTATGTATTATGATCTTGTTATTAAAAAAGGCTGTAACGAAGAGAACGCAGATGAAGGGGACTACCTGCCAGGATTTACTCAAAAGCGTTACACTTCTAGGCACCTATTAAAGACATTGTTATTCCTAGCAGTCATTTTGACCAAAGTTGGCACACACTATGTATCTAACCACAAAATATGTTACAGTAAAAATTTGCATGAATTGTATGTTACCAACCACAACATCTTATATAGTGTGAAAACAAAGTGGTGCATGATAAGCACCTCAAAGATCTGCTATGCCCTGGAAAATTCTAACAATAATCATGCAGCATGAGATTGAGAGAGAGAGAGAGGGAGGGAGGGAGGGAACTACAAAAACAGGGATACAGATGCCGTGCACTATAGACAAGCCAATACATTCCTAAAGTAGTATGATACGACACAAGGTTATATAAATAGTAATTTTAAGTAAATTTTACGTTTTATGATGTGTTAGGTGAGCTTGGGCATTAAAACCAAAACTAGTCCATAGTAGTGAACATTTGAGGAATTTTTTATCAATCTTGATGAATGTATTAGCATAGCAGTAAAACAATGTTAAAAGTATTGTATTGGGTTTACATGCTAGATGGTGGTGTTTCACCACTCTACTTACAAGGTCATGATCAAGGATTGTGCATTCCACACCTAAAAGAGTACGATATAGTACAACAAATAAATAGTAATTTATTTGTAATTTTGGTGCTTTATGATGATTAGGAAAGCATGGGCACTAAAACCACAGCTAACCCACAGAAGTGAACATTTGTGGAAATTTTCACCAATCTTGATGGATGTATTAGCATAGCATTAAAATATTGTCAAATGTTACTAGATTAGGTTTACATGGAAGGCACTGGTAATTTCAGCACTCTACTTGCGAGGTTATTGTCAAGGATTGTGCATTCCAGACAAAAAGTATACTTGCTACTGCAATGTATAGATGCAGCAAAACAACAAGTTTCAAACTCCTCACATTATTTTGTTGCAACAGGAAACCAGCCGCACAAACAATCCCATACAACTGCACCTTAAGCAACTATGTTTAGCATATAACTTATATCAAATCACACCGCTACAGCATTAAAATACCAAACAAGATCCTCCTGATGATCGAGGCTGAAGAGTTGACATATTAATTTCTTCTCACTGATATACTACTTAATAATCATGTCATGACGAGAAGGAAAGAGAACCAGCCACAATGACTAAATTTTCCAGACTTTCTACTCAAGCAAGGAAAGTAAGAAAGTAGAATGTAAACAAAAGCAAAAAGAGAAATCAACTTTTTCTATAAAATCATTGCACTCTATTTTATTTTATTGTGCAATTCACACAACCTCAAATCTTGTTCTTTTACTAGCATTTATAATTTTATGCCCCTAACTAACTGAATATTCAGAAAAATAGTAAGTGCGATCAATTGACTAGCAATGATCAGTGTGCAAAAAGATAACATCTTTCCAAAATCAACATCAAGAAACTCACGATTTTGACATAACTTCTGCCATAACAGGAACTTTAGAGATCATCTCCATAGACGACGCGATCTCCGGCACACGACAGAATCCAGCAAGAACTGTAACCGATAGCTTTAAATACGCCTCTCGCTCCTCTCCGCTTCTAACGCTACCACCACCAGCTCGTTTCCCAATTCCTTAATGATCAACACAAAAACCCATCAATTAGCAAGAAATTGGAGATCCTTAAACAGAAATTGAGGAAGTTACCGGTCATCAAGAGGCGATCGAGGAACCGGTGGCCGACGGCACTGTAGACCTGAAGAATTGAGTCTCTGTCGTCGCTTTGGCAGAATTTGGTGGCGAGGAGGAGGCCGGCAAGCTTCTGCTCGTCTCGTTCGCCTCTGAGGAGCTTTAAACAGTCGGCGATAGAGGGAGATGGCGATGCCTGAGAGAGATGAAGAGGATTAGAGAAATTAGACGCGGGGGGAAGAGAGAGAGAGAGAGGGATCGTCACCATTGATGCAGCTTTCGAGGTTTTTCCGAGGGTTTCGGTCGCGAAGCGGGGGAGAAGAGGCGAGGCTCTTCGATGAAGCGGGTAAAATAAGACATGGTTCGAGATTTCGGAGTCGGGTCGGGTTCGTAACCCGGAAAGTAGTGAAGTCTTGTTTATTGGCTATTTGCAGCTTTGTAAACTTACGTCTCCTTTGTTACACGGGAATAAACTCAAAAGAGAACGGAATGGAAGAAGAATAGAATGTAATATATATGGGAATGGAATTTATATGGGAATAAAATGGTCATTCTCATTCTCTTATTTGGGTGCGATTGTAGAATGAAACTAAAATAAAATTCTCACTCTCATTCTCATGTTTTGTATCACTAGTTCACAAGTGAGAATGAAATCTGTTATGGTGTTCCCACTCGCCGAAATACAATTTATTGACAAGTGACGGACGGATGTATTTTCGTAATTAATGCCCCAATCAACTTGGTGGCCCAAGCCCAGCAGAATCTGACTTAGCCGACTGGTCGAGTCGATATTCATTCGTGTCGACTCGAAAAGCGGTACTAGTCGACCCGCTTGTCAAAGACGACTCACCAGGAGTCCACTCGACCATGTGATTAACACCTCACGAGGACGACTCGAAAGGCATTATTTCTCGGCGAAGCTAGAGGATAACTTCTGCTTCGAGCTTATCTTCGTTGACAACGTGTCCACGTCGCATTTAATGCTTAACATGCATTATCATGCCTCTAGCCCCTAACAGTCTTTATGACTCATTGGACCATGTGGGCCACTGTCATACTCCCTCTCACTTCTCATTTAATGCTGAGGAGATCATCCCTCCAGTCACCAGCTGACACCTATAAAGCAGAGGCTGACCCAGCTGCCAGCCCGCACTTCGCCACCGCCCTTCTATGCTCGGCTGAAGTGACTAACCTACCCCCTATGCACTGAGTATAAATACAAGTTCTATTCTAACATTAAAGGGGTTCACCAATCTGGTCCTCTAACGCACACACAGCACAATTACAAGAACACACAGTTCTTCCTTTACCACACTCAAGTCATCAGCTAACTTGATCATTGGAGGTACAATGGGGGAACCAAACCTCGCCCTCTCACGAATTTCTATATATGTAGATTATTCATTAACCGTGTTCAAGAACTAGACATAAAGTCAGAGAAGAAAGCGGTCTCTCGTCAATGCTGAACAAACTGATCCTATCCTGGATCTAACTAACCATGTGATCATATAAACTATCAACAGTTTGACGTCCACTATGGGGCATTCTTACTTTTTTGAGAAAACATATCAGGTTCTGAGTAATGGTCTGATCAGTCTAGCAATGAAGAACAATACCAGAGCTATGTTACCCGAGCCCAGGTCGAGTAAACTGCTCACAAGCTTTCTTAGTCTTTTCGAGAACAATTCGCTACTCTTACCAGCGAACTTCTTAGTCGGCTTCCGCAGCCACAACAAGCTACTTCAGCTTTCCCTTCCCCCTCAAGAGACCAACGGTCAGAGGCTCACCCTTCTAGAACACAGCAAGCGCTCCCTCTCTGGACTCCTCATGTTGCTACTAAGTAGTTGGGGAATCGCGTCAAGCACACATCAATGACGCCTCGTCGAACGACCCACACTGACGAGCCTCGCCGACATCGTCGCCATTATCAGTAGACCTCTAGCGAGAGTCCCAATCTTGGTCACTTTGAGGACTGGCCTCTAAGGCTATCCACTATCATCATGCATCCCCAGCTCCCTCAGCCACCATCGGAGCCTCGGGATACGACCGAGTGTATCGACCGGTCGTCGACGCCATCGGGGGTAATACCCCTCTCTCCGACGACATCATGCATGCCCCATGTGAGAGATTCAAGATACCTTGCATGGAGAAGTACAAAGGTGAGGGAGATCCCTCTGAGCATATTCAGAATTACTATGATGTGATGAGCATGCTTCAAGCTTCAGAAGTGGTCATTTGTCGATGTTTTCCAATCACTCTTTCAGGGAGTGTCAAACTCTGGTTGAATGCTCTTGAGAAGAAATCTATTAGTAGCTTTTAACAACTCAGCAGAAGTTCACCCACCACTTCCTGGCTGACACCAAACAAAAGTTTCCCCCTCATGTGTGTAGGCGTATAAAACTGCCTATAGGTCCCTACGAACGGCTCAGTGCTAAGAAAAGATGATGAACGTCATAATCTAAGTCACAGGAGCTTGATTAATGTCTACAAACACATGAAGTGGGTTGATGAACTATGTGAAGCAACGGAGTTTCAGAATAATGAGGATACGAACGGATCGAGAGCCCCGTGTCACTTACAAAAGACGAAATACACTTCGTGTCTCATTTATTCCACAGATGATCTAATCATTGGAGCTTATAGAACTCATCATCATCTTTCCAACGCACTTTGAATCGCTTAAATCCAAGTTCGGATGAAAAAGTTATGGCGAAAATGGACAAGTGTGCAAAACAAAATGTCTCAGCCCGAGCCGAGACACCCAAAGGTATCTCGGAACTTGTGGAGCTATTTTGACCATGATCCCGTTTGAATCTGAAGAAACTCAAAACAGGAAAGTTGTAGATATTTTTGTCAACTTTCCAACTCATCTGGAATCAGGTCATTTGGAGGTCATATGAGGAAGTTATGTCTAAAATAGCGCCGAGACACCCAGAGGTGTTTCGGACCTGGCCGAGACACCCAGAGGTGTTTCGGACCTGGCCGAGACACCCAAAGGTGTCTCGGAACTTGTGGAGCTGTTTTGACCATGATTCCGTTCGAATATGAAGAAACTCAAAACATGAAAGTTGTAGATAATTTTGTCAACTTTCCAACCCATCTAGAATAAGGTCATTTGGATGTCATATGAGGAAGTTATGCCTAAAATAGCGCCGCGACACCCAGAGGTGTCTCGGACCTGGCCGAGACACCCAAAGGTATCTCGGAACTTGTGGAGCTATTTTGACCATGATCCCGTTTGAATATGAAGAAACTCAAAACAGGAAAGTTGTAGATATTTTTGTCAACTTTCCAACCCATCTAGAATCAGGTCATTTAGAGGTCATATGAGGAAGTTATGCCTAAAATAGCGCCGAGACACCCAGAGGTGTCTCGGACCTGGCCGAGACACCCAAAGGTGTCTCGGAACTTGTGGAGCTGTTTTGACCATGATCCCGTTAGAATATGAAGAAACTCAAAACATGAAAGTTGTAGATCTCTTTGTCAGCTTTCCAATGTATATTGGATCAGGTCATTTAGAGATTATACGAGAAAGTTATGTTCAAAATACCCGAGACACTCACAAGTGTCTCGGCCTGGCCGAGCCACCTTCGGATCTGGGCCCAGATCTGGGCCCAGATCCGCTTTCAATGCCTATAAATAGAGGGTTGTAGGCTCATTTTTGAAAGGTTGGATTTTTTGGAGGTGAAGCCCTGCTGGATTGAAGACTCAGATCTAAAAAAGATTCAAACTTTAGGACTTCGAGGACTTGCTCATCCAGATCTGGTGCTCGGCGATCGTCAACGCCAAATAAGGTAAGAGTTCGAGAGGACCGGATCTCAGATCTACGCAGGCGTACTCCGGATCAAAGCTTGGTCTTTTATCCCGAGATTTGGGCGATTGTTTCCTTGGTGAACCAATCCCCCCCGGCTATTATTTCCTTCGTGAAATAATACCCGTCGTACTGCGTAGATCTGACCGGATCTAGATCGCGTGGTGGTCCACGGATAAACCCCGACGCAGGCGAAGAACCCACAAAGCGAGCGACCGCAAAACAGGAGCTCGTGATTTGTTCGACACAAAAGGAGAAAGTTGTAATCTTTGTTTATTTTTCTTTGATTTTCGTTGTAACGTATCTTATAAAAGACGGGATCTTTGTAACTCAAAAAGTTGTTATTTAACGAGTGCAATGGAATCAATTACAAAAGAAAGACACGATTTTTCCTGCGACAATCTGAGACCACAGTGGGAGCCGCCGATCTCGCTGCCGAGATCGGAGCGTCGCAGCCCGATCTCAAATCCCGGTCGTGGAGGAGTCGTCAAATACGAGTTCGCACAACAGAATTCGAGGATAACTTGTCGCACGTCCGGATCAACCTCCCCACGCAGTCTCAAGAAGCCAATGTTCTCCTCAGGAGGAAAACTCGTTGTATGAAAGACGTTGAAAACACCTCAACGAAGATCTCGCGCCCGTTTGTGCCAAAGTCGCATCGTGGTGAGGTTCCTCCAATTCCCAACCAAGGGGATTCTATCTGGGCCAACCTTCTGCCGTGCGGGAAAGCGTGTACTCTCCTCGAAGAGAGCCCGCCAAAAGGCAACGTCAAAGCTGCCTTGCAGAAAACATTCGGCAAAGCCATAGGTCAGTTGACGCGATCCGCCTACAACGTGGATATGAAGAACAAAAGAGGCAAACAGCCTCAACAACAGATGAACGGCACCTCTTCCAAGCCGCCAACAATGGAATGGATCCGTGTTAAACGGAATCGTTCGACGCTGGAAGAACGCATCCGCAAACGCCGCGCACTATCAGCGCAGGCGCGGGCTCAAGCCGAAGAAGCCCGTAGGAAGTTGCAGAAGGAAGTGGTCAAGAAGCCGCCATCAACCAGCAAAGTTTGGAGGCCGAAGTCTGAAGCGGCGGTTCAGACCAAAGAGCGTCAACTGCAGTCGTCGAAAGTTCAACTTCCGGCGTATCAATCCAAACCGCCGATGATTTTCACAACTGCTCCGAGAGATCCCACAGGACCATCTCAGAAAAGGAAGTCAGTCTTGGAGCGCCTCGGTCCAATTCCCGACGAGAAAGGCAAAGCTCCAGTTCAAGAGAGTTTGGGCCCAATGAAGAAGCCCAGAACGACTCAACACGCTGGGGGTCGCCGTCACCTCCAACGTGATAAAGAAATCAGGGCCGCTATGCGCACTACCTTGCGCATTGAAGTCCAGGAGCCCGTTGAGAATTCACGCCCACAATGGCGCGTTTCGAGGCGCGTGACTCTCGAAAGCCCGAAGAAGGTAGTTCGCTCTCAGAAGGAAACGTTATCGTCTGATGATGATTACGTTATACCTAAGAAATCGTGCCAACACACGATAGGTTGCTCC